ACCCCCCCCCCCCCCCAACGGTGTTCCCATCCCCAAGGCGGTTCTGAACGGGAAACGACTCTAGATGGCCGAACCGTGCAACCTAGATGGACAGAGTAGATCCGTTGACTCTGCTTTCTGAAGGAAGTCGATCTGCAGCCACCGCGGTCATTCATCATTGCCAATGCCATCGTGATTTGGAAAGATTAAAATCAACGATGGTTATACAATACACACCTACTTCTAGCTAGTTTAGAATTTATATCTAGCTACTTATTGATAGTTGTTTCAATGGCCGAGAGACTGAACTAGGGGTGAAAGTTAGGAATGATTCTCACCTAGTGTTAGGGGTGAACCGGGGGTCTTATCAAGTTGTTATTTTTGGAGATGGAATTGTGGAATAATGAAGGGGAAATGGGCTGGATGAAAATATGGGAATGTGAAGGAGTTCTTTTTGGGTTTTGATATTATGAAGAAGAGTGGAAAATCAGGGATGAAGGATGGGTTTAGAAAGGATGGGATAAATTCCAAATAAGGAATAAGAGATAAACACACTCTTATCTTAATTTGGAGCCAAATTAATACTAAAGGATAAGCTCACCTCTAGATTAACTTGGGTTAAACTCTAGTATTTAATCAAGATATTAAACACTCAATCAAATAACTAGAACCTAAAACTCACACTTAAGATATAGAATTAGGAATTTGGTTAAAATAGCATCACACTATTTTAAGAATACTCAAAGAGTAAAAGGTTTTTAATATGCTTCCATTGTCCCTGCACATTACCCTAAGGCTACATTATATAGGGATAGGGGTAGGGGAAAATAATACACAATACAATGAATGTGAACATGAGGAAGCTTCCTAGCAACATCCTCTCTCAAAGCTTTGAAATATCAGCCATGTGTTTGGGTCCTTTTATTAGAATAAAATCAGGGATGAGTGTGGTTGTAGGGTCTCTAATGAAAAACAAACCAAGGGGAATGAATGGCATTCTTTTGGGTTGATTTTGGGGTATGTATGCAGCCAACCAGGGGGACAAAGGGAAAGAGTGATGTGTGGTACTTTGGCTGCATATATGAGGATTTATTTTGTGGTTAAAGGGTTAAGAAAGTACCATGTATCTCTTGACCTTTTATGGTTGTTTAGTGGGCTGGACTAGGGAACATAGTAGGGACCATGTTGGGTGAATGTTGGGAAAATGAATGGGGCTGTTTTAGTTTCTTATTTTTGACCAGGGGTTAAAATAGCTGGAAGAGACTTTATTTTGGATATCAAAAGGAAATAAAATACTTTTGGATGATTGGGGTTGGGTTGGACCGAATGGGGGTTGGCTAGTGGAACCCTTAGGTCAATAACAAAAGTTATTTTGGCCTTTCAGGTTAAAAAACCTTTAAATTCTCACTAAAATGGATCATAATGTTTGAATGTAAGTCCTTTGGCTCCCATGATTGGGTGAGTCGTGGGGAAGGACCTGAAAGGGTCGGGCTCGGATACATTATCCTCCCAGTCTTCAAAAGAGTTCGCCCTCAAACTCAGCGGATAATCAAGACCGTCATATGGACTGAGGTCTCTCTTATTGAACGTGGCAGAAACTCCACCTCTTCTACTGAGAGCAACCGTGTAAGCATTGTTTTTGACCTTGGCTACTACTTCAAATGGACCATCGTCTCGGAGTTGAAGCTTTGCGTTGCGTTTCTCAGAGAAACGCTCTCTTTGCACATGGACCCACACTAGGTCTCCGGACTGAAAGTGGATGGAACTTTTCAACTCCTTTGTCTTCATAAGCTTTTCACGAGTCTTATGATAAAACTCGGAAGTTTCTTCATCACATGGAACCTGCAAAAACTTAACAAACTTGGCACAAGGTACTGTGAGCGAAGATAGTCTTTGAGGTGAGGCTTCCACATCTAGTCTCATAGCTCCACGTTGAATCTTCTTCTCATCAAGTTGCACATTTAAGCTAATTAAGCCATAGCCTAAGAACTCATCTCTGGTGGCAGCAACATCCTTCTTCTCTAATTCACCATTGGTCTTGTTCTCACCTAAACTTAGATGACTCTGTTGTTCTCTCCCTTGGTGAGGCATGGAAAAGGGTAGGGATAAACATGTGGGTTCCCTTTTTCTCATTGGATACACATCAACATATCCAACAAAATCAGGTGGCCATGGCTTGTTAACATAAAACAAAGAAAAACTACGCAATTCCACTCGTAGTTCTCTTCCATTGTTCAGCCATTCAATGGAGCATGATTTCAAGAGAGGTTTTATTCCCAACTCATTTTGATCAGCCAAACTACTCAATGGTCTATCAATGACCACGAGTTCATCTTCTTCTTGGCCTAGAGACTTAACATCTTGTGTTTGTTCTTGCCCCAAAGTTTCTGGTTTCTTTTCACATTCAACCAAGGCCATCATTCTCTTATTTGGGCATGTAATAGCATAATGACCAGACCTTTGACAATGATAGCAGCTAGGAACATTAGGCTTGGTGGCCGGCTTCTTTTGGAGATTGTAGAATGAGGTGGCGGGTACGGTTTTGCTAGGGGCAGAAAGGGCAGTTGGTTTGGGTTCATGTTGGACCATGGTTTTTGAGTGGGAGGGTACTGAGTTTGTTGGTTTTTGGGTCAGAGATGTTGAGGTTGGTTTATGGTCCTTTTGGACAGTTTGGTTGTGAGGTGAAGAGGGAAATTTTGAAGGGGTTTGAGGTTGGGAGATGGTGGTGGTTTCAGGGCTATTTTGGGCAGTTTGTAGAGAGGTTATATAAGTGGTTTTAGGGGAGTTTTGGGACGGGTATTGAAAGGGTTTTGGGGTTTGTTTGGGCAGTACCTAGGGAAGAAAACGAGATGGTTTTTGAGGAATTTTGGGAGAGTGGTGTTGACAAGGTGTTGGGATCAATTTGGGCAGTAGCTAGGGAAGGTAAAGGGATGGATTGAGTTGGGTTTTGGGTAGTGGAAATAGATGTGGGTTTGGTGATGTTTAAGGCCATAGAATAAGGATGTGTTTTAAAGGTGAAGGTGGAAGATGTTTGGGGTATTTTGTGGGTATGATCTTTGGGCAAAAACTTCTTTATTAAGAGTTTTTGCATCTTTTCCCAAGTTCTCACCTTAGCTTTTCCTTGAAGCTTCCGTTTAGCAGCAATCCTAGCCCACCAAGTGGAGGCATGTCTTTGAAACTTTGCCACCACTAACTTGACCTTATTGTCTTCGAGTACGTCTTTGAGTGTAAACACTTTTTCAACCTTTTCTAACCATTTTAAGAACTTTTCCGGATCAGTTCTTCCTTCAAACGCAGGGATCTCTACTGAGTTAGTGAGCTCTTTGATTTGTTTCATCATAAGCTCAACTTCCTTCTTTAGCTTCTTTTGGGCAGTAGCTAAATCAACTTGAGACATGTTTCGTGAATAGCTTGGCATGGTTTGGCCGAGATGCAAGTAAGGGCTATTTGGTTTTTGGCTTTGGGGCAATGCTGTTATGTGTGATGAAGGGTTGTTTTGGGGCTAGTTTTTGGTGTGGTTTGAAGGGAGAGTAGTGAGGGTAGGTTTTGGAGGAGGGCTGGCCGAAATGAACAAGGTGTTGTGGTGGTTTCTCTTGGCCGAAATGACCAAAAGGATGGCAAGGAAAGCTCGTTTAACCAAAATCACAAGGCTGTTTTTTTGTTACCTTGGCCGAAGAAGTACAAAAGAAGAGAGAGGAAGAGGGAAGTGTTTGTGATCCTCAAAGAGATGTTCAACAACAAGCTAGACAGAATTCGGACAGGACTGCATTGTCAACTTTGGAAGGGCGTATCTCACTAACCACAACTCTGAATTGAGTGAAATCAGCGGCCAGACGTAGATAAAACGCTCAACTTTCAAACTGGAAAGTTTCACCGTAATATACGTTGTGTATCTTTCTCCATGCTCAATGCTTTAGAGCTGAAATGTTCTGCGAAATTTTTCAGCAATCTTGTTCTCGTGCAAAGTTCGTGAAGCCGGTCTTCTAGGTAATCGTCGAGACCTAAGAAAGCCGTCGAAGCTAGCTTTGATACCAAATATTATGGGTGAACCGGGGGTCTTATCAAGTTGTTATTTTTGGAGATGGAATTGTAGAATAATGAAGGGGAAATGGGCTGGATAAAAATATGGGAATGTGAAGTTCTTTTTGGGTTTTGATATTATGAAGAGTGGAAAATCAGGGATGAAGGATGGGTTTAGAAAGGATGGGATAAATTCCAAACAAGGAATAAGAGATAAACACACTCTTATCTTAATTTGGAGCCAAATTAATACTAAAGGATAAGCTCACCTCTAGATTAACTTGGGGTTAAACTCTAGTATTTAATCAAGATATTACACACTCAATCAAATAACTAGAACCTAAAACTCACACTTAAGATAACCACTCTTAAGATATAGAATTAGGAATTTGGCTAAAATAGCATCACACTATNAAGGAATAAGAGATAAACACACTCTTATCTTAATTTGGAGCCAAATTAATACTAAAGGATAAGCTCACCTCTAGATTAACTTGGGGTTAAACTCTAGTATTTAATCAAGATATTACACACTCAATCAAATAACTAGAACCTAAAACTCACACTTAAGATAACCACTCTTAAGATATAGAATTAGGAATTTGGCTAAAATAGCATCACACTATTTTAAGAATACTCAAAGAGTAAAAGGTTTTTAATATTATTCCATTGTCCCTGCATATTGCCCTAAGGCTACATTATATAGGGAGAGGGGAAGGGGAAAATAATACACAATACAAAGAATGTGAACATGAGGAAGCTTCCAAGCAACATCCTCTCTCAAAGCCTTGAAATATCAGCCATGTGTTTGGGTCCTTTTATTGGAATAAAATCAGGGGTGGGTGTGGTTGTAGGGTCTCTAATGAAAGGCAAACCAAGGGGGATGAATGGTATTCTTTTGGGCTGATTTTGGGGGATGTATTCAGCCAACCAAGGGGACAAAGGGAAAGAGTGATGTGTGGTACTTTGGCTGCATATATGAGGATTTATTTTGTAATTAAAGGGTTAAGAAAGTACCATGTGTCTCTTGGCCTTTTATGGTTGTTTAGTGGGCTGGACTAGGGAACATAGTAGGGACCATGTTGGGTGAATGTTGGGAAAATGAATGGGGCTGTTTGGGTTTCTTATTTTTTTTACCAGGGGTTAAAATAGCTGGAAGAGACTTTATTTTGGATATCAAAAGGAAATAAAATACTTTTGGATGTTTGGGGTTGGGTTGGACGGAATGGGGGTTGGCCAGCAAAACCCTTAGGTCAATAACGAAAGTTATTTTGGCCTTTCGGGTTAAAAGACCTTTGATTTCTCACTAAAATGGATCATAATGTTTGAATGTAAGTCCTTTGGCTCCCATGATTGTGTGAGGCGTGGGGAAGGACCTTAAAGGGTCAGGCTCGGATACATTACCTAGTGCCCAAGGTTTACATGCTTTGATTTCTAGGCTCGGTCTTTCAGGCAGATGGGGAGTTGGACGGGGACATTGCGCATCATGCGGGAGCAGCTTGGGCTGAAGGGAGAATGGCTTCAGAGGTGTTGTCCGATAAAAAGATTTTGCCTTCGATGAAAGGAAAGTTCTATCAATTCCGGGGTGTTACACCAGCTATGTTGTATGTGTTGGGCGGTTACAAAAACCCATGTGTGTCATCTGCATGTTGCGGAGATGCGGATGTTACGTGGATGTGTGGGCACACAAGATTGGATAGGATTCGGAACGAGGTTTATCCAAGGTCAGGTTAGCATGGCACCTTTGGAAGATAAGATAAGCTGAGAGAAGTTAGATTAAGGTGGTTTGGGCACGCTGACGCCCAGTGCTGAGTTGCGAGAGGCTTACATTTGTGGGCCGGAGTAGGGGAACACGTAGATCTAAGAGGAATTGGAAGGAGGTTATCCATTTAGACTTTGGACTTCATTTCCTTACTAAGGACACGGCTTTAGATACGAGCGTTAGGAGATCTAGGATTAGAGTAGTTGGGTAGGCACCTTGGGCTAGGAGTTATGTGTTTTGTATGCATTATTTGCTTATTTTCTATTTGTAGTACTTATCCTTCGTTAGCATTCATTTGTTTTTTTGGCTTCTAACTGCTTGGTGTTTTATTTATGCTTTCTCTGCTTTATGTGTTTGCTTTATATATCTCGTGTTTTTATCCGTGCAGCTTGAGCTGACGGTCTCTAAGAAACAGTGTTTCTACTTTTGAGTAGGGGCAAGGTGTGCGTACATTGTAGTCAGCTACTTTATATATGTAGTCATTCTAATAGTTTTGGGAACTTTGTGAACCATTCTATAAGATGTGATTAATAGCAATAAGAGACGAGTACGAAATTTAGACTAAATGTTGAGGCCGTTTTGGGTCTTCATAAAATTATAAAATCCAACCTAGAGAGTTTGGGATCTTAACAAAATATAAACCTAAATTTAGGTTCGTTTACTTTCGAACAAATAAACTTGTGATACTACTATAGCATAGAACAAACAAGCAGCAACAATAAGGCAGATAAGCAAATTAAAAAATAAAATTTACTTGATGTGGATACCTTTTCACCAGCAGATATATTGATCCTTCCTTCAGCTTCTCTAGCAGAAAGAGCTCCCATACCAATAGAGGGTAAAACTGTACAACATGATTGGCTTAGCAATCCATACAATAATAGCAGCAATTGCACTAGCAGTAGCAGTAATAGCAATAGATTAACAATAGCAATAAAAATAAGAATAAAAATAAAAATAAATGTCCATCATCATTTATTAAAAGCATAACGCTCTTAATCATAAATTCTTGCCATTCCTTTTTGAAGATTGAACATTTCCATTTAACCCTCACATGTTTAAGTTCTAATTATTTTTGGAAATAATTAGTCAATTGGTCAACAAACATGGAATTAAAAATTGTTGGTTTTGATGGGCACTTACAACAAAGAGTCATTTTATTGATGCAAAATTCAAACTAATTTTTAGTTTCTAGTTAACACTATACTTCAACATTCCAAGTGTCAAATTCCTTAACAAGCAATGCCCTTAAAAAACACCAGAGAACAACTAGCGTATAACATAGTTGTAAAAAGCGAGCCTGCGCGCCTGAGGCACGATGCGCGCGAAGCGCCAGGGCAGTGCATTGCCAACATTGATGCACGCGTTGTTCATGAGGCGCGCGCCTTACTGCACCTTGTTGTACTATGCGCAATGTATTGATGCGCAAAAAGGCACGCCTTGTGAACGTATGTTTTTTTTATTTATTTTTTTTTAGAAATTAGGTTTAGGGATTAGCGCTAATATTTATTACGACTAACCCCTCCCAAATTTTACGATCCCAAAGAGATTAAACGGCATACCTACTGGGCAAATTAAATGATTGTTTTCTCTATATTTTATTTCTTCGAGTACAACTCTTCCTCTCCAGTCTCAAAGTCCTTCTCCGAACCGGCACACCTACTAGGCAAGTGGCAGAAGCAGGTATCTTTTTCTTGCTGATTTCTCTTCCTTCTACTGGGCAAGTCCTTCTCTGTTTTTCATTGGTTTTCCTTTTTTAAGCATATTGTTCTTTTTTTTTTATACTTTTTTGTTTTTTTAAACATATTGTTTTTTCAAGTCAATTTTTCAAGCACTTTGTAGTAGTATGGAAGAATCTCCAAATTTAGAAGGGGAAGATGGCCAAAATTCTAATGATTCCGGATGGAAGTATGCTCAGAGGGTCTCAACAACAAATAGGAATGATACTATTTGCATCTTTTGTAATAGAATCCATAAAGGGGGCATCTTTCATGCCAAAGGAACATATTCTCGGAGGGCAACGAAATGCAAAGGGATGCTTGAAATGTCCTCCATGAGTGCGTGAAGATATAAGAAATTATATGCTGTCCAGGAAAGCCCAAAAAGACTTGGAAAAGCAAGCACAACCTTCTTTTGTCAATGTGAATGATGTAGATAATGATGATGTTCATGATGATGGAGGTATACCTTCTACTCAAAACTTGGGAAATAATGTAAGAAAGAAGCCAAGGCAAATGGGTCCTATGGACTTGTTTTTCACTACTACTCCTGGTCCTAGCACACAGAAAGGTGATAAGCAAAGAAGTGAAACAACCATCAATAAAAAGTTCAAGAAAGAATTTAGAGAAAAAGTCAAATTGGGCATAGGTGAGTGGATGTATGATGCTGGAATGGCTTTTAATGCTTGAATTATCCAAGTTTTCAAGAAATGTTAGATCTTATTGGTCAATATGGAATAGGCTTAAAAGAATCAAGTTATCATGAAGTGCGTGTGAAACTTTTGAAAAATTTTGTGGAAAAAGTGAGTGATTACATAAAGTCGTGTGAAGGTGTGTGGGAAAAGTACGGGGTTACTCTAATGACAGATGGATGGACCGATAATAGGCACCGGACCTTACTTAACTTTTTGGTTAACTCACCTCGGGGATCAATTTTCTTGGAATCTATTGATGCCTCAGAACATGTAAAAAGTGGAGAAATGTTGTTCAGCTTCTTGGATAGTTATGTGGAGTGTTTGGGAGAAAAAAATGTTGTTCAAGTTGTAACAGATAACGCTGCTAAAAATATTCTTGCAGGTATGCTTTTACTTTTTGCATATAATTATATAACTAAAAAATTTTTACCATCTTTTGCTCTTGTTTTACATGGCTAAATATTAGGGAAATTACTTCAAGCCATAAGGCCACATCTCTATTGGACTTCATGTGCTGCACATTGCCTTGATTTAATTTTAGAAGATATTGGAAAACTTCCCATGTTTAAAGGTCCCATAAAGAAGGCAGTGGCAGTAAATGCTTTCATTTATGTTTGCCTCAGCATGGTCTATTTATTGAGGAAATTCACCGTCCATAAGGAACTTGTTCACGCATGTGTCACTCGCTTTGCTACTGCATATTTGACTTTGGAAAGAATGTACAAGGTGAAGGCTGGCTTAAGAAATTTGTTTAATTCTGAAGAATGCTCAAGTAGACGAGTAGTAAATGGTGCAAAGAAGTGGATGGGGTTTGAGTGGCAAAAATAATATTCAACATAAGGTTTTGGAGGTCTGTTTTATATATCTTGAAGATATACTCTCCATGGATACAGCGAAGGATTCAAATGAAAGCATTTGGAGCAAGAGGATAAATATAAGCAAGTGTTTGAGATTATTGATCAAAGATGGGAAATCATACTTCATCATCCGTTGCACGCTGCGGGCTATTACTTGAATCCTGAGTTTTTTTATTCAGGACCAAGTTCACTTTCTGATGGAGAAGTGGTGGATGGATTTATGGCAGCAATGGAGAGATTGGTGGTGGGGTCTGCTACTGAGCAAAATAAGATAACTAAACAACTTTCTTCATATCAAAAAGCTGAAGGACTATTTGGTAGACAAGTGGCCATCAGACAGAGATGCACATTAGCTCCGACAGAGTAGTAGGAAAACTATGGAGCACAAACCCCCGAGTTACAGAAGTTTGCTATTAAGGTCCTTAGCCTCACATGCAGTTCTTCTGGTTGTGAACGCAATTCGAATGTATTTGAGCACTTAAGTACTAAATGTAATATGCAATTACATACCTAAATGCTTCATTATTATATTTATAATTTTTATATTATTAATTTTATCTTTTTTGGTGTTTTGTAGATCCATAGTAAAAAAAGAAACTGTCTTGCTCAAAAAAGGTTAAACGATCTTGTTTATGTGAAATATAATCGTGCATTACAACGACGATACAATGCACGTGATTCCATTTGACCCCATTTAGTTGAGTGATATAGATGATAGCAATGAATGGTTGATGGGAGAGATGGATGGAGAAAAAAATGACTTGGTGTTTGAAGGTGAAGAATTAACATGGACACAAGTTAGTGAGGCAAGTGGAGCACTGGAGCTAATGAACCTTCATATATAACTAGAAGAAAATGAGGCTCAAGTGGCTCAACAATTCCATCACGCTCTAATTCAAGCAGTAGGTATACTACTACGGAAAGTAAAAGATGCCAAGAGAGAAGGGGCCAACACCAATGGATCAACATAGGGATAAGGGAAAAAAGCGGGCATTCTCTTTGAGAGTAATTGATGAAGAAGAACCATTGTTTGATGATGATGATGATGATGCTCCTGAAGAAGAATATAATGAAGATGAAGTGTTTGAGGATGAACAATGTTGATGATGATGACTTTTGAGGCTTCCCTCATTGTTTGATGTTTCACAATCGTTATTTCTTTGTGACATGTTCTTCCCTTTTTGACGTTTTGTCTATGACTTTTGTTGCTCTTTGAACATTTTTTGTCAATGACTTTTGTTGCTCTTTGAATGGTTTTTAATTTTGTCAATGCCTCAATGGTATAATGTCTAACTTTCAATCTTGATTGATTTCTAAACCTTTATTATGCTTTTTAAAATTTTATATATATTATTACTAATATAGATATACTATAAATTCTACTGCTTTGGGGTGTGATGGAATAAATCAAAATGGATCTCTAAACTGTCTGCGCTTCTTTAATTAATGAAGTAGCAGTTAGTCAAACAATGCAACTTTTGACGTTGAGCCGGGGGTCCCTTTGGAAACAGCCTCTCTACTTTTGAGTAGGGGTAAGGTCTGCGTACACACACCCTCCCCAGACCCTACTCTTGTGGGATTTAACTGGGTTGTTGTTGTTGTTGTTGTTGTGTTCGTGAAGCGCACGCATCAAGTACGCATCGCGCATTGAGGCGCTAGAGCTCCTTTCTGCATTGGTGCGCATCACGCCTTAAATAACTATGGTGTATAATAACAATAATAACAATAAGAATAGTAATAATAATAATAAAATTAAAAATAATAACAATAATAACAATAATAATAATACATGAAAATCATATCACTTTTAGAGTCATTAGTTGGGGAGTAGAAAAAAAATTGAAGAAAATGAGAATAGTTGAAAAAATAGTTTTTATTTAATTATAAGTCAAAGGTTTAATTCAAATTGACTTCAAAAAGTCAAAACTATTCACAAATGGAGGGAGTAATAATAATTTAATGACAATATCGCCAACACATGCAAGTTGAAAAGCCAAAAAAAGATTATCATGTTAATTTAAGGAAAAAAAAAGAATCCGCGCGGCCATATGAGTTTGGAGATTACCTGACTGAAAAACAAGAAGTTTCCCCCCAGTACTTCTCATAGCCAAAAAAGCAGCCTGATATGACAAAATAAAAGCTAAATAAATACATTTGTTATAAATGTTACCCCAAGAAAAGTGTTATTTTCTTTGGACATAATTTCATTTACATGTGAATACTTATATATACAACACTTGTAGAGAGCACTGAAAAATATATCAACATAGTCAGGGCATGATATTGCAAGTTGTACAAAAAATACCAAAATTTCTTCATGTATGGTCAGAACATGACATCTTTTAACGAAAACTTCACCTTTCTAAAATTTTGACCTATCATCAATTTGGGCACTTGCCATCTCTATAACATATAAAAATTGGGAATTGCAATAACATTTAACTCAGCTTTGACATCCTCACATGATTGAATCATACATACGTACAATCATACATACATCAAGTGATGTTTAATGCCACTTGAGTAAAAGATATTATCCCTTGGTGGCATATTACATTGGAACATATATGTCAAATTGTATGATAACATGTCACATCTTGATCATTTGAATGACACCTTTCAATGTAGGTTATGGAGTACAATGTGAAAGACTAAAATCAATGTGCAACTTAAAACTAAATTTAAAGCGCAAGTTCAATATTTCATATGCAAGCTCTAATTACCTTACCTTGCAAGCATAGTTGTTACGGCGGCTAGGCGAGGCTGGGCGCTAGAGTACATTCCAATCGCCTAGGCGATTAGGCGCCCGCCTAGGCGTCCGCTGGGCGAGTGGGCTAAGGCGACCTTAATAGTTTTATTGGTACTGATGTAAAAGCATATACGACGAAATAATTAATTTTATAGGTATGAAATACATTACTTAGTATAAACTTTGTAGAAAACAAGAATAGATAACACATTACTTTAAAAAAATATAAAGTAGATTTCCTTAAAAAAATCCAGTCAAAGCCTGTCTGTTGCTAGTCAAAAAAATTCCGTATGTTTCACTCACAAAAAAATAAAAAATAAATAAAAGAAACACTTTACTTCGCCTAGTCTATCGCTAGTCAAAGCCTCAGGGGTTTCCGTCAAAACCGAAGGGTCAGATCCGGAGAATTCACGAACGCTGGACAAAACCTAAGGGATCTCCGTCGATCGCGATCCAATAGATATTACGACCTCACGATCTAAATCGCAGATCCAGACAATTCCTATGGATTTCCGATCTTCCTTGCGATTCAGATCTCAAATCGACGCCAAATAGATGCCAAACAGACGGTAAACTGAAGCCTCATTCGCCCAGGGAAGAAAAGGCTAGGCGACCAATTGGGCGTCCACAATACCTCGCCTAGACGCCTAAGCGTCGCCTAGGCGACGCCTTGATTAATATGCTTGCAAGTAGTGAGATATAAGGCCAATTCCATTTTTAATCAAATCCTTTGTAAAAATAGAAATATGAACAGGTTGTTATGTGCTTTACAATTACTTCGTACTACTAGAGATGCTGCTGAAAAATATAACTGTGGCTCGTTTTATTCTCAACATCTTACCATCTTCCGAATGGCCTGCACCAACTAGGTGCTTTCCAAAAAATGTTCAATTATATAGACATGAATGTATCATACTACTAACAAGTCGAATAGAGAAAACGAATAAAACAAACAATTACCCAACAAACATAAATAATCACCATAACAATGGAGAGCACAATATACATGCCTTGATTGCAGCACCAAAAGATGAATCAGCAGTCCTGGTGGTTTGAAACATTGTAGGGATGTTTTCTAGGAGAAGATCCAGATGTTGACGGCACTGAGATATCAATGGGGAAAAAGATTATACCATTAAAAATGCTTTATAGGTGATGATGGTGATGAAATGATAAAATCAGTATAACAAAAATGTTAACACTGATGAAAACAACGTAAACAAAAAAATGACGAATGATTGACTTTGTTAGGTTCTGAGGGTCAATGTGTAGGCAATCCCGTAAATGACAGAGGGGTTGTGTTAAATAGATTCTTGATAGATTGTTGTGTTTAATACACAAAACTTCATAGAAGGTAAGCTGCCGAGGAAGTTTAATGTGACATTTTGATTTAGTATATTTACTCAAAGCTAAAATATTCTCATTCGCAACGGATGCAGATGATGACAATAATAGAGCAATAATGAAAATAAACACACGTTTAGGAGAACAAACCTCAGAAAGTTGAACAATAACATCAGTCTCAAGGGGAGTATACACATCATGCACATCTGGGACTATAAGCATCAGTGGCTGCTGCAAGATAATTCAAGAATCAAATAAAACATTCTCCAAAAATACACAGACATGAATACTTCATTTAAGCTACAAAAGTATATCCATACCATAAGATATGAAGTCAAAGTATCATATCTCCCAAAGTCTATCCATTCATATATAGAAAACACTGGTATTGTTACATGATGAGTATGATGTTGTAATACCAATCTTGCAATGGAAGTTATGGAACATCAATATAGCAACTATATCCGCGAATCTCAACCTCATGACATTTTCCATGCAAGAGAAAGACTTCTGATAATGACAATTTTGAAATTTTATCACATTTTCACATTTTTCCTTCAAAACAAGGTTTCGGTAGGAGTGTCAGGAGGCCATCTGGTATTGGTGGTGGTTATGGTGATGATGATATAGCAACAAACAAACATCAAGCAGAGTAAGAGCATCTCCAACCTTCTCATTTGCCTTGCTAAAAGCAATAATATATAAGAAGCCAACCTCTTTTTCTATTCTCCAATGGATGTGCTATATATTTGCAAGCTTGCCAAAAAATGAGTTTGGCTTGGTAAATATAACAAGCTCCCCAAATTATAGCAAGCCTATAGTTGTAGAATGGATTAGCAAGCCAAGGTTGGAAAATGGAATGCATGCTATATCACTATTTACTTGCTGAAATATAACAATAGGAAGCCAATATAGCTTATATGGTTGGAGATGCTCTAAGATCCTACAATAATTATGCAAAAAATAGATAACACGGTAACAGAATTGCAACGAAAAGAATACAATATTAACTTCAACTCTACATTTTTAGTACCAATGCAAGTATACAATGGGTTCCCATGCAGACTTTTCTATCATACGCCAAATAGATTGTATGACAATGCCCAAACAACCTCAACAAAGGGCAATGGGAGGAGAACTAATGTGAAATTTCAAAATATTACTGATAGAATTTAGGATGGGGTAAGGGTTATAGGAATGGCAACAAGACACTTGGGTTGAACCACATTAAAAGATTGAATCCAATCGATTACTTAGTTCAACTCAAGAGCTTATATACCGATTATTTTACATTTGGATTTCCAATGTGGAATAAACTCTAACACTCTCCCTCAAGTGGACGACCGGGCCATTTTAAATCTAACCGGTTGACCACTTGCAAAAGGACTCCCCATCCCAAAAAAATGAAAGAATCGAAAGCGCCAACACCTAAAGGACCAAGAATCGCTGGGTATAGACTTCCAGACAGAAAATCAAGTTATATGGCTCATGTCATTTTTCATACGGGCAACAGGGCTAAAGACTAATGTGCCGCTGTGAATGAACTTCTAGACAGACACCTAAAGAAATGAGGTATACCGTGATAGAATTTAGGATGAGATAAGGGTTACAAGATTAGGTAATAAGACACGTGAGCCGAACCACATTAAAAAATTTAATACAATCAATTACTTAGTTCAACTCAAGAGCTTATATACCGATTATTTTACTCTTGGATTTCTGATATGGGATAATCTCTAACAATCACAATAACAGGCAAAATCTGAAAGTGAAACTCAAATCAATGAACAAAACCTGCTGCGATGCACGTTTTAGATGGTAAAAGTGAATAGTCGAGTCAAATGTAGCAATGCCAACAAATGTTCGAGGACCCTCCTGCAAAAATAAGAGAATAACAAAAAGCAAAGAGTTCCCCAACATGTTATTATCTACAAAAGTAACAGCCAAAAATAATATTAGTAGAACAGAGAGCGGCATAATAGCACACATAGATCGAGAAAAGAATATTATACAGACCATTGCATCTACATCCCACATGCATAAGGTCATGTTCTCCCCAACTTACTCTTTTTTTACTTATTAGTTATTACTTATTCTTATTGGAATTAGATCAAATAAGACCACATCAGATCAGACCAGATTAGAAATAGCTTTAAATATAACTACATTCAAATTAGATCAGCCTAGATCAAATCATATCAGAACGTGTTCCAATTAGATTAGAACCAATCAAATCAGGTGAAGAGAACATGGCCTAAACCAAATAAGTGCTTATGCAGCTCTACCCTTAAAAAATCATGTAATCAACCAGCAAGACAGAAATACTCCCTTTATCCCATAAAAAGAGACCAGTTTCTCACTTTCTTGACATGATTTTGTCCCAAACAAAGTTCTATTTTATTAAAAAACTCATTTTTATTGGTTATCTGGTTGTGCCTTATAAATAAAAAGTGGTACCAATGATAGTCAAAGTCGAGATTCTACGTAGGATAGATGGATTTAATAAAGATAGTAACCTGTAGGATTGTGACTCGGATTGTAAGAACATATATATATATATATATATATATATATATGGATATGTATATGGACATGGATTTGGATATGGATATGGATATGCATATGCATAATATGCATATGCATAATATGCATATGCACATGCACATGCACATGTATGTGTATATGTATATGTATGTTTGTGTGTGTGTGTGTATATGTATGACTGACTCAGTCAAATGACATGTTTCAGATGACACTTTCGATCAGATAACATCTGGTTCATTCTGAATCAACGTAGTGCTCATTTGAAAACAACATAGGGTTCATTTACACATTGTTCATCACAACGTAGTGTGCATTCTGAAGAAACACAGTGTTTATTCAGAGTGAGTCAGGTAACAACTAGAGTTCATTTTGAATCAACGTAGTGTTCATTCTGAAACAACGTAGGGTTCATTTTCACACATTTTTTCATTATAAATATAGTACTCATTCTGAAATAACATAATACTCATTTTCACTCTGCCCAACGTCGTGTTCATTCTAAAACAACGTAGTGCTCATTCTTAAACAAAGTAGTGCTCATTCTGAAGCATGTCATCTGACCGAAATATGTCATCTAACTAGAATCAATCTATATATATATATATATATATATATATATATATATATATGGAGTCAATCCATATGTGTGTGTGTGTGTGTGTGTGTGTGTATATATGTGGAGTCAATCCATATATATATATAAGTATATTTAGTTATAATGAAAATTTGTATTAATTGAATTCATTTTGAAATATACTACTCTATAATAGGTTTAATATATCAAATTTTTATAACATTATTTATGTGTATATAAAATTACCTGATATTTATTAAAAGTTAAAGTGTGCAAAGCTAGCCAAAAAATTACAATAATGGAAAGATATTTTGGAAGTAGTTTATGATACAAAAATAAAAACTATAGACTTAAAGAGTAGAACAAAGCACACATACAGGAGTATGATTTAATTCAAGAAACATTAAAATTGAAATTAAATTCATTTGGGAAAGTCATTAATACTTGTAGAATAGGGATTTCTAACCAAATCTAAGGGTTGCACATACTATCAAATATATTTGAAGGTCGGGGAGAATATCAGATAGATTTGAAGGGTTGTACGACTCAGCGACATGGATTTCCATCAAAGTCTGAAGTTGATTTTGTCGATCGCGAGCTATGACGATCTAACTCGCCAATCTGGACAATTCGCAACGGGTTTCCGATCATGCTCGCGATTCAAATCGTACACCCTAATTCAATTTGCAAAGTTTTAGGATTGTACAATCCAGATCGCCATCTTGACTACCATGGTTGTACCATGATGAAGCCAGACTGTTTATATAGGGCACGGGAAGTGTGTTAATATTGGGAGAAAAATACTCACCCCATGTGATAATTCAGATATGCTTTGAGCAATGACTCAAGATATGTGCAAGCCAAGATTACGGTAAATCAATGTTCTCACACAGATATGATGTCCGAATGACAAGTAATGAATCGACTTTCCAAGACACCTTGTCATAGTAAACATGTTCGAGCATGTCTAATGCAACAATGTGCACACATGGCATAAGAAAGATAGACACATAAAAAGAACTAAATAAGTTCTCTTTTTCATTTGCTTGTTTTTATATGTTTTTAAATTTTTTTAAAATAAAGAGAAGAAGCTATCAAAAACAAAGAAACCCATGAAAATGGAAAATTTGAAAATTCATTTACTAACAATTATGTATCTATCATGCACATGTGCACTGTGCATATTTTTGTATTGGAGACAATCTTAGTGTTCATGTTTTTTAACTGGAAAATAAATTTGAGAAATCAAGTGATTTGTCATAACTCCTCATAAGATTGTGCTTAAGTTGGGGGTCTCTTGGAAAGTGGAAACAGCCTCTCTACTTTCAAGTAGGGGTAAGAGCTGCGTACACACACCCTCCCCAAACTGTACTTTTTGTGGGAGTTTACTAGATTTGTTGTTGTTGAAAGTCATTGGTCATCAGATTTGGAGAATTGGGGACAGAAAAAAGTGAACTGGAGAAGGAAAGTAAAAGGAGCTGCCATCTAAATCTTTTTATATAGGCCTCCATGATAGTATGGAGACCTATTAGGTGAGCTATTCTATACTGAATTACTGACCACAAAAAAAGGCAGGTCATAAGTAAATTGCTTTTGTAATTTAATTCTCATCATGACTCTTCATCTTATGTGAACGCCTTACAATCTAACATCTGCTTTAGATCAACACAGAGTGTAAAACTCCCGCCTGTTATACTTGACAAAAAACAAACTGCACTACATTCTTCAACAAAGGAAATGGTCTAGTCAGCAACATCTAATGCACTCAGCAATAATAGAAAATGCAAGACTCCCAAACTAAAAGATCTAAAAGAACTGTTTCTACCCATCCTAGTTCATATACAAAACCAGCATAAAGTGGTTGACTGTTGAAGTATGAAATGTCAAATTAGGAACTTCATTTCACAATAACCTCGACAACTAATTTGATATAGTTGCTCTTTTACTTAAATAATAAAAAAACAAGTAAAGGTCAAATAATTGCTAGGCAATCCAACAGACTTACAGGAAGATCAGAGATAACTTGACTAATTGCACTACAAGCAGCTGCAGTTGCACCTGTCTGTATTGCATTCATGGATACATCAATAAGGAAAAAATATACAGCAGGCATTGGATCCCTGACCTGAAATAACAAAAAAAATTTAAGTCAGTATACATTCCTCCAAAATCAATAATCAATAGACATTTGAAGTTAGGAAACATAAGTCATAGTGCTTAGTTTCCTAGCCCAGATATACTGAATAGGTACATTTTTTATGCGCCACTTGAATAGGTGACTTGGTTGGATACTTGGATAATGGTAATTTATCGAGACCTAAGTCTTCACAGTCTAGTACTGTGCATCCAAATAGTAAAGCAAATTTTGACATATGTTGCTTACCATATACTCTTTGGTAGCAATGAATTCCACAGTTCCTTGGCAGAGTTCTGGCCTTTCATCAGCATCTCTACGCCTGCCATCAGGACCCAAGTTACAATGATAATCTCTAGGGGTATCGTCTGTATATCCTGCAATATGAAACAATTGCCATTTGCATTTCCTCCTAAACGCATATGTCATAAGAATATAAAATACGAGAGAATTCAGAGTAGCAGTCAAAATAAATGCCATTACAAATCTTTAGGATCTCCATGCCAATAATAAGTCTTTTCACTAGACTTGTAAAATCTAAATAATTGTGACTAGCTATGAAGCATTGTATTTTCTAAAATATGAAACATGGGATGTTACACATACATTTCCTCTTTTCTATTTTTAATAGCATCACGTGACTATCATGTTTGGTGACGGGTTACCTTTCACAGTTATATATTTATTTACAATGAGTTAAAATTATTTAAAAATGATTGTTTGAAAATATAATGAGACGAACTTTGAGCTTCAATTACACTCAATTTGTACTGCATATTAGTACCAAAAAAGGAAGTTCTCAACAAGATACATCTAATAAAATCATTTTTATACTAATATACATTACAATTTTTGTTTAATTGATGTTCAAAGTTCATCTAACACTAAAAAGTCACACTAGGCAAATGTGTTGGGATGGAGGGAGCAAAAATAATAATAATAACTACAATCGAATATATATCATAAACCAAAATGGGAAAATTGAATAGAGATGGCGAGGGAGCGTGTGTGTTTGTGTGTATGGGAATGACTACAATGGAGGGAGCAAAAATAATAATAATAATAATAATAATAATAACTACAATCGAATATATCATAAACCGAAATGGGAAAATTGAATAGAGACGGAAAGGGAGCGTGTGTGTTTGTGTGTATGGGAATGACTACAGGGAGATGACGCAATGTCAACCACCGATCTATGTATGTGTGTGTGTGTGCGTGAGTGTGTGTGTGTGCATGAGTGTATTTGTGTGTGTGTGTGTGTGTAATTCACAAAATTGAAATTCTTTTTAACTTTTTAAATCTTAATCCCTAAATGTGGCTATAAACCCTAAGTCAACCGCTAAATCTATAACACTAAGCATAGCATATATGATTCATAAGATTAAAGCTTAGGGTCAAATATTTAGGCTTCAAGGTTTAGGAATTTAGTGGTGCCAAAAAAATATCACACATATATATAATCCCTTCGTCTAAAATTTTTTTCCACTTTCTTTTTTTCACCGTCTGGAAATTTTCTTCTCATTTCCTTATTTGGAAAATTATTTTAAATTAAATGTCTTCTTTGCCTTTTTTTAACTTTCCCATACACTTTCGTCACTTCCGCTCTACCCTAGATTTAAGTATCTCTACTCGACAATTTTTTTCTTCCATCGGAATCACCTTCGTAGTATTACTTCCTATCTTTAGATTGAATTATCTCTGCTTTAGAATCGCCGAACCCAATTATTTAAGCACTATTAGGTTTCTACACCTATTTTATTATACGAATAACTAATTTCAGGGCTGATTGGACTTCCGGGCAGGAAAGTTTGGGAATGCAAAAATCATTGCAGACAAAGAGCCGCCACCATGGCTGGAGTTGTCGAGACCATCTTTATCATTTCTTCCTTCCTTCACCATCAGTTCTATTTCTTCTGTGGATGAGAATTTGTCCATGGACGAGATCTAATCCATGGCCAGAGGTAGAACTTGTATTCCGCTGGTTTGGAGTATTTGTTTGCTTCACGATCTACTGTAGCTTAGAGACAGTGTTTAGACGGTACTTTTCCTGACAAGGGCATATCGAAGACCATGGTTTGGAGTATTTGTCAAGCGCAGTCGGAATACTTGCTAGGAGAGATGAGACTGGTTTCAACTAGGGTATTTTGGAAAAGTCAGAACTATTTTTAACTATCCTAAATAAGTGTGCCAAGTCAGCACGGGAAGTGAATTCCCTGACAGAGGGAGTGTGTGTAAGGTTTTTAAAGGGGAGATTGGGCCTCAAGGTGGTGGGACTCTCTTCCATCAGCCATGAGGCATGATGAGACGTAAACCACAATTTCATTTAAATAAAAATAATAATAAAATAAAATGCATATTGTGAAATAGAGTCTTACTACATTGGTATACTTTTTTAAGTAATATAAACTTCAAAAAAGTATTTGGAGGGTTTAAAACCAGAACCAAACAATGTTAAACAACCACAAACTATTGTTACCAAATACCAATAAGGCAATAACTGAATGAGTAATAGACTAATTCTCCACTTCTTTGTTATCCAAAATTCCAAATGTAAAGTGATGGGCCTAACAAAACTGAAAGCCCAGTTTAGTCCCTGCAGTGCTGCTACACCTTTGGCACTGTTCAGATCTTCAATATTTAAGAGTATATGAGTAGGCAGCGATGAAATGTCCCTCATAATTGTGAAGGGTTGCATCTGCTTGGTGATTTCCGGCTATTGCAGTGTCAGTTGTTAAGAGGTAGCAGCTTTTTGCTGGTAGCAACCACGGGAATATCTTGACTGTTTGGTATCTTTGAACTTCACCAGCATGTATAAGTCCTGAGAATCTGAGGCATGCTCTTCCTCTCCAGGTATAATATATATGGATACACACATATTATACTCCCTCCATCCTGTAAAAAACTTCTTGTTTTTCTTCCATCCCATTGAAACTTCACTTTCTTTTAAAAGAAATGAATGAATGGCTCACAAATCTTCTCTCCTCTAGACAAATTCTAAACATAATGTTTTCACTTGTCAACACTCTCCTTATATTCTTAGAAAGTAAACCAAGGAAGATTTTTACGTGGTGGAGGGGATATATAGTGTTAGTGTATAAGTACTTCTCTGAAAGACAAGAATTAATTTCTACCAATTTTGATGTGTTGTTAACACTTTCAGCATCATAACAAGAATTCCTGAAGCTAGAGAAAAGAGATGCATGAAAGAGATAGGGGATAACTAGGCCTTTTGTAAGAAAGAAGAGTCCTATAGAATGAGCAGAGAGCAGAAGAACGACCCTGTTTTTACACTTCAGTCCTTTTCTTTTACATTTATTTAAAAAATATCCCATCTTTTCATAATCACTCAATGTGTTCCCAGTGTCCTTGGGTGTCCCCAAAGTGTTCTTGTGTGTCCTCATATTAGAAGAAAAAAAGAGTTTGGACATGTTCCAGATGTGTCTCCAATTCTCCATGTCCCAAAGTGTCCAACACAAATACATCACTGCTTTTGAAGGGTACATGCTTCATTGTTGTGAAAATAAAACATAAAATAGGTGATAAAACATTATAACGTATACATACCGCATAAGTTACATATGAAACGTCTGCCCTGGTCTATGAACTTCATAAAAGGGTTTATGTAGCCCTTACAACGAGAGCACCTGACAGGACCACTTTCTCCAAAATCAATAACCTAAACCAGCAAGTGTTATAGAAAATGTATAAGGGGAAGAAATAAAACAAACAAAAAATATGAGAGCCCAACAAATCTTATATCAGCCTTTTTGAAGTTCTTAAAATTTTCAAAGGTTAGTAGTTATTGCCTTTGTGTTAGGTTAATATAGAATGTTCTTGAAATTCTCGTTTCTTTCTTTTGTTGAAATTTTTTTATAAATTTATGAACAAAGTAACAAAATTTATCAGAATCCAATTAAAATTTAAATTTGGATAACGGTGACAAGTGTTAATATTATACTAGAACTTACATTTGAATGCCAAGTTAGATACAAAAACAATTTGTGAAAACAAAAAAACTCATGAGGTTGTTACTGTGTGTAAGTTAATAAATCATTCCAAAAAAGAAAGGGCATAATTTGTGTGAGACAATTGTGTTATGGTGAAGGAAGAAATACTTTAATGGGCTCTTCAGAGGGATGTGGAAGAGCCAAGGGCTGCACTAACAGAGCCAGCTGCATCTCAGATGTCGTCAAGAGGTCAAGTGTACAAGGAATCTGCAGCATAAACCGTTGGTGTACAATTTAATAGTATTTCTTGCATTTAAAGAAGCACAGTACTATAGGGAAACACTTTTCCAGAAAAAACGGTAACGCTTGTGCTCTAATGAAATTTTAGAGGAATTTCAGGTACCTGGTTAATTGTGCACCTCATGTAGCGTGGACTACAGTTTCCAGTATCTTTGACAATATAGTCACTTGTAGCAGGCTGCAAGATAAACAAACTGGAATTATGCATCAGCAATAACCATAACATTAACACAAATTAAATGGTAGAATTGATTGGGAATAGAGTTTAACATAGTTGGTTAACCAAAAAAGGAACTATAAAGTATCTTGATAAATTATAGGAACTTAAGCTAGAAGCCATTTATGTTGTTTCCATTTCGCATAATAATGTCTGTAAGTGTGTATAGTAGGTAGGTATGTATGTATCTCGCTTCACAAATTTGGGCGCATAAGTTATAAGTTCGATATGCTATCTCAAATCAAAAAAAAGTGTTCCTGAGACAGATAGGCACGTATTATGAATGTATGTATGCACAAGCACACACACACACACACACGAGAGAGAGAGAGGGATGTACTGCTAAAGTAGAAAATCAGTATAAAAGTAGTGTCGAAAGTAGAAACTTAAGTGTCACTGACATTTACAAGTCTTGAAAAGGTGTTTTGTGTAACAAACAAGATGGAGGGAGCAAATTATATCCTTCTGTAATCAATATTCAAATGACTTAATAACTAACTATGAATGTAAAAGTTTGCTAGATTGTATTCTAAGAGCCATTACCGGAGGAGGGTTGGCTTGGTTGTCTTGTCGAGTTTCATGGACAATCACAGCAGAACCTGGGATTGGCCGAGGAATTTGATTTGGATCGATTTTTGATGGTCCCATCACAGAGGCACCCGTGTGACTTGGAGGAGGAGCTATAGAAGCCACTGATTGACTTTGATGTGGAGGAGGGATTCCATATGTCCTTGGAAGTTGCATGGAACCAGGAGCAGCCACCTAGGAAATTAGTAACTCAGAATCTATGCCCAATAACTCAGTATAAAAGCAGTACTATATGCATGCCCAGCCCCAAGACTTTTCAGTTTGACAAAAGTGATTTTCTTTCTGCAGTATTTGTGTCAAAGAGTAAAAAAATTAGGTAAAAATGCAGATAGCAAAGGTTTGAAATATGAGCCACGATTGTACATGAAACTGCACAATATTTCAAGATAATTAGTCGCAATGCACTCTTTACTATGTTCTAGCCTTAAATAAGTGTAAGTGAAGTGTTAGATAAAGCATAAATACTACCTGATTGGGTTGTGTTTGCCAAGTCTGCATATAGTGTGTGGGTGGATGTGCACCTTGGACTGGTGGTGCAAATGGTGAGGGAAGATGTGGTGATGAAAAAGGAATCGGCTGCTGTGGTGTAACCTGTGCAGCTGGAGGTGGACTACCAAAAGGGGAGTGCCTGCTAGGAAGCTGGGAAGGAGTTCCAGATGAAACCATTGCTGGTGGAGGTCCAACTCGTGGTGGCCTCAACACATTGGATGTAGGAGGCAATCCCGTTCCACCATGCATTGGCCCTGACCCAAGCACAGGCGGCCCAATACTACTTGCGGGAATGCTTGATGGTGGCGCAATAGCTGATCCAAATGGCAAGTCCATAAAAGGGCCCTGTTGGGGAATAGGGTTTATTGAAGGCAAATCACCCGGATGTGGAGGCCTGAAAGCAAAAGGAGGAGGAATGCGTGCTATTGAAGGAGAACCTGTTGGTCTAGTAGCCACATTTGGAGGTATTGCATTTTGTGTCCCAGGACCTACGGGAGTCATGCCCCTTGGTGTTGCGCCAGGAGGGGGCATAACTGGACGACCCATGGGAGGCCCCGTAGAAAAGGGAGGTGGCTGTTGTCCAAATGGTGAGCGGTGCTGAGGTTGTTGACCAAAAGCTGAAGTAGGCCTTGGCATTGTTGGCTGATTGGGCCTACTGATTTGAAGGTTTTGGATATTATCTGCAACCGAATTGGAATTATAGTTTGGTGGTGCACTTCCTGTTCTCAGTCCATCTGGAGCTGCCATGACTTTCAATCCCTCACAACCAACAGACCAAATTAAACACCAAGATCTCTGTACTTCAGATCATTCAATATCCTATACAGGGCACTCTAAAAATTAAAATAACATCAAATAATCCTAATACTTACATATATCCAGGGCTGGTCCAGAGAATTCAATGGCCTGAGCCTAGACAGAAAAAAATGGCCCTAAAGGCCTTATGTGTAATGACCTAATAAATTAAAGTATGTAAAGTAATTATATTTAAATGAAACTTAACGTCATAGTGTAATAACAAAATGAGTAAATGACAGAACCATAGTAGTATTATTCTTGCATATCAAATGAAGAACACATTGAATCATGATTTTATTCATAGCAAAGAATTTTTTGAATAGCAAAAAATAATCCTAGCAAAGATTATTAATTAACAATATAACAATTATATAATAATCTTAGATTTAATATACTAAAATAATTAAATGAAGAATGAATATGAATTAAGAAAATAACAATTAACAATTATTCAATTAACCCTAGATCCAATTTTAATTTTTTCCAAGAATGAAGAATGAATATGAATTATGATTTATAAATACCAATTCTGGATGCTGGAGTGAAGAGAGAATCTTCGCGCCGCTGGAGTCTGAATTGTTCTTCCGCCGCCGGAGTCTGGAGACTATTCCGTGAATTCTTGTCGCTGGAGTACTGCTGGTCTCTGGTCGCGAAATAGGCGAGATAAACTGATCGCAAAAATATGGAATGCTGGACCTGGACGGCTGCCTGCTGGAGTACTTCTTGGATTTGGGGCTTTGGTGTTTCGGTTAATAAATTATGGGCTTAGATAATATACTTATAATATTCAAAAAAATTGGGCCCCCTTAATTTATTGGGTCGGTATGGTCGGGCAGTCCGTCCCCCTATGGGCCGGTCCTGATATATATCTATCACATATAGTTGTATTAATTGAAAGAACTCTGTGGGGAGCTTTATCAGAAAATGAGCTTTAGGATGAAGAAGAGTTATTACCCTAGAGTAATGTATTTTTTGTTCATTGTAATGCATATTTGGTAATGGAAAAAATGTCCAACTTTTTTTACTTCAAGCAACCATGTTTTTTTAATATTTTTCTCATTTTTAAGTTTTTATAGCCCTATAACTTAAATCCAAATGTGCATCATTCTCATTTGATCCTACAACAACATTACCTTAATGCCTCCCTCAAAGCCTCCCACCCAATGAGGGGTAATTGGTAAGGAAATCAGATGTAGGGATGGCAACTCTATCCGAATCTGACTTTTACCAACTCGATCCGAGCTTATAATATCAAAATTCGAATCAAAAAAATAAATATCTTAAACCGACCAGAAAAAATTAAATTGAACCTCACTTTTGTCAGGTTGGGTTTGGGTTAGTATATTTGACTAACCTGACTTGTACCTGAACCGACCTGACATGTACCCAACTTTCAATAAATTTTTAAAAACTCTAAATTCCTATATTCCATGTATTTTTGATGCACATGTTTTTAATGTTCTAAAACTTATTGCATTTTTTGTGTTTCATTTTTTATTGTGGTTTAATCTTGTGTCTGACGGCTGTCGTTTGATCTCTCCGATTTTACCGACGGCCATTTCTGCCCCTAAAAGACGTGGGCCCAAAATGCCTTCGTTCACTTATATTTCTCCATCCTAGACCTGAAATCTGCAACCGCTCCCTCTTCCCGCGCGTGCATAACAAACAATAGTACTTTGACATCTTTAATGGTCATTTGGTCATAATTATTTTTGTTAATATCTTAAATTTTATGTCATTTTAAAATTTTAAATTTATAATGTATTTCAATCTTAATTTTTTCATGAATACTTTAATTAATATTCAAACCCGAAATTTACTGTAACCGACCCGTCCGAATCTTAAACTGAATCTGAACCAAAAAAAATTATTTCTGAAACCGACCCACCAAAATCAAACCTGAACCCGACCTAAGTCAGATCGGGTTTTAATATACTCAAACCCGACAGAACCAGACCCGTTGTCATCCCTAATCAGATGCACATAAAATGATTATTCTAGTCTTTTGACATACGCAGAATAATTATTCTAGTCTTTTGAAATCATAATTCAAATTGTCACATCCATCTTGACAATCTCGCCTCATTTGCCACCAAGAATTTATCTCTTCATTTTTTTTTTGTTTACCTGCGTGTAACAAATAAAACATACTACACGCTCAGTGGTGAAGCTAAGTAAGAATATCTAATGCATCGAACATCCATATAAAACAAATCTCAATTCATAATCAAATCATTTGATATCACGCACATTCATCATTCATGATTCAAAATACTTTAATTGAGTCATTTCATGGTATAAACAATTTTCAATATTCAGTAATTTAATAATGCTCTTAAATTATTCTTAGTTTAAGGCCAAATCATTTTCATAACAATACTCTTAGACTATTCCTAGCATAAGACAATATTTCTAACCGGGCTCTTAAACTATGATTATTTAAAGGCAGAACACGAGAATTTGATGATCCATTCTACGAGTCTTATGGATCACGCTCCAACTGAACAGTGGACTTATTTACTATCGGGTGGGTGATATCCCCAAATGATTGATCCTCAAGTTTTGTTTGGATCAAGAACGTACGTTTTAACTCGAGATTACAGAATTGGTCACATAGCTATATCTTAGAGTTCTTATCGATATTCTTAATAATCAACATTAATTATCTAAATGGGTATATCTTAGAATTCTTCTAGATACCCTTCAGAATACACATTATTTTCATAAACATCAATATATTCATTTTTAATCATGATTTAATCATTTATAATTATTAATTTAATCAGAATACTTGTCGAAATCTGATCATAAACAAAATCAATAATAATCATCATAATATTCGATAACAAATATCAGCCTAGCGTCTGTAAGTCTGTGGGGGCGCAGCGGAAACACCAAACACAAGCTGTGCAAACAAAACAATCAACTATGTTGTACAGAATATGCTGCAGCACTGTCACAGTAACAGATGACTGACAGAGTGCTATAACACCTTTTCTGTCACAAGCACACACATAAAATATAAAGTAAAAACAACACGCAAGACACCAGAATTTTTCACGCAGTTCGGAGCAAATTCTCCTACGTCTGCAAGGCCCACGTCCGTGTAATAGCCCCTCCACTAAATCACCGTAAGAATTACACAATCAATCACAACAGAACCTTCTAATGTATTGATTTGTATACTTACGAATGACTTGACGACAAACTCGGTTTGCGTCTATCTCAACGGCTTGTTACACCTTCTCAAAGATCTTCTTCAAAAACGTAGATTCCAATACACCTTCAAATAAAGATTCTCCTTGATCTACTAAAATATGCAGGCTGATTCGAAGCTCATAAATCAAGATTGAACCGTTGGAACTCAATCTCCACCATTCAGATTCAAGCACCACGAGTCCTTAGACTCCTCCCAAAATTTCAGCACGATCAGACAAGATTTGGTACTCCGATCATCAACAAAACCAGCGCTGCATTTTCTGTAAAAAAACAGCGACAGTATGTAGATTGTAACTTCGATAACAGAAGATCCGTAACTTCGATTGACGTGAAAATTTGACACTTTGAAGCCCTATGTGTTGAGAACACTCTCTAAAAATTTCAGCAAAATCCAATGGTCGTATCTCCGGCGATGATCAAATCAGTGCAGGCTGTCTAGAAAATTTGCACTATCAAACTATGCACCTTGCTTTTCTTTTTTCGGATTTGCTTCACTTGTTTCGAATTTTTCCGCCTCAAAACTCTAAGGGAGGGAGAGATAATATATAGAGCATATTAACCTTCTTAGAGTGTGCTTAGGAGTCTCAACCATGCCTTCCTCCTCAAGAATAATAAACCAAGTTGAATTAGACTTCTTTCTTCAAGCTCTTCCCTCTTTCTCTTTCTTCACATGCTAGAACTCTAAGTCTAAATAAAATATCTAAAATAATTCTAGCTAAATCTATTCGTTTGTCAAAAAATAATGCCAACACAATATGGAATTAACAATCTCCCTCTTTGGCAATTTTTTGACAAAAACGAATCTCAGCTGTTTTGAACCTCTTCTCCCCCTTTGTTGTATAAAAAATGCCAAAGGTTTTATTAAGAATATTGGGGTAAAAAGAGAAGAGTAACATTCAAGCGAGCTTGAGGATTACAATAATGAATATAAAAATAGACCTAGACTTTGTCACATCAACCTGAGCCATATTGAGTGACTCCCCCTCGGACGATCCATCTGAAAAAGTAATAATCTGCAAGAAGAAAAAGACATGTATACAACCAGCAAAAACATCTATGCTCTAAGGTATTCCACGCTGGAGATGAAATACCTCTTAAAGCATCTTCTAAATCAAGTAGAGATGGGTGTGCACGGACCCAAGCGGGATCTGAGTATACAAAAACGATTCCCACCAAATGCTCTTTTACACATGCCCAATGCCCGTTTTTTCATAGCCATAAACTTCACACTCTCAAGACTAAGAGGTGTCACTTCATCACACTTATGAGATGATTCAACACTTTTAACAGCACAACGATCTATATATTTTCTTTTCTTCTTGATGCAAGCTTGCACTACTAACATGGCATTGATCAAAAGCAACATCCTTCACACAAGGATTATCACATGTTTTGTACTGATTCTTAGGTACCCAAATCATCCTTGTTGTCACATTCTTTTTTCTGTATCTTTGCTCTTTAAAAATCTTGCATTTCCTCTGAATGTGTCCCCTTTTTCCACAGCAAAAACAAACATAATTAGCATAGACATTAGTATAAGAATACCTTTCAGGTTTAGGATAATGATCCTTGTGTCTTCTCATACTAGATTGTGTCACAACTCTTTGCCTTTTTACATAGGGTGCTGTATAAATTGTTCAAGCAGAAGCTTCTGTTTTTCTTCTTACTTGTGGGACTTTTTGAGCAATTTCCTTTCTTCGATCAACAAATAAGTCAAGTGGGGTCTTATTGCTTTCGGAACCTGAAAATACAAGACCCATCTTGTCTCCATAAAATTTTGAAACGTTCACTTGTTCCTCAACAGCTTTTGCTCCAGCACTTCTCATCCACTTGTGAAAGTTTTTGAGTTGATTTAATTCATACTTGAGATCTGATTATTGCCTTCTAAGTCTTTAATCTTCTTTTCTAGTTTAGAAATACTCTCCTTTAGTCTATTGCGCTCGGCAACAACTTGATGATTCTCCACAACAGTTTTCTGGTTGGCTTGAACAAGTTCTACCCACTTCATTTGGAGAATAGCTAGCTCTTCTGCTGTGTCAGCCCCTGTGTCATCTTCTGTATCATCCTCTTTGTCATCCTCTGCTGTAACTTTACCTTTGTATCTCTGTAACTCTTTGATGAGTTGTTCTACATCGCGTTTTGATTCAGCAAGTTCACGTTTGAGGGTATCATTTTCCAAACATTTTTTTTCTTGTTGACCCGTAGAGACTCTTGAAATTTTTCTTCAACAATTATAAGCATCTCCTTTGGATCCACGTCACTAAGTCACCGTCAACACTGTGGAAAGTTGGAGAAGCACAGCATGTTCTAGCACTGTCTTTAACACACTGCTTCTCTTTTTCAACGAGGATGACATGCTGCGTTTTACGTCGTAGATCTTCATGCATCTCCAACTCTATGGTTTCTAAGTTCCCCATCAGCTCGTCAAGAGACAAAACGTACATTGAGAGATTGTGTTTGTCTAATAGCTTTAACATCCATAGAGTAATTTTCTAGAAGAGAACGTAGCACTTTCAACACCAGCTTG